AGACTAGACTAGAATAGAATAGAATAGAATAGAATAGAATAGAATAGAATAGAATAGAATTCTTTATTGGCCAAGTGTGATTGGACACAGAAGGAATTTATCTTTGGTGCATACGCTCTTGGTGTACCTAAAAAGAAAAGATACATTCGTCAAGAATCATAAGGTGCAACACTTAATGATAGTCATAGGGTACAAATAAGCAATCAAATCATATTAGGAAACAGCCAATATAAATCTTAAGGACACAAGCAACAAAGTTACAGTCATGCAGTCATAAGTGGGAGGAGATGGGCGATAGGAACGGTGAGAAGACTAATAGTAATAGTAATGCAACCTTAGTGAATAGCTTGACAGTGTTGAGGAAAGTATTTGTTTATTTGTTAGATATGTCTAACAACAAGCAGTAGACCTTCGTTCCCCTTCATAGCTCTCAAAACAAAGGCGTCTGGTCTGAACGAGGACAGAGATAAGTGGCTTTATCTGCCATATGACTCAAACAATGAGAGCAAGCAGGCTTTTAAGAGGTCAGGTGTGGCATTCCTGGGCCAATTTCCAAGGCGTCCTTCATCACCAATGGGCAACGTTAAGCAGATGCAACCATACTGTATCTGGGATACCATGGATTCAAAATTTTCTTAAATGTATTTGGTTTTTCTTCTTTCATGCCCCACCCCGCATTTCCCCACAATGGTAGGGTTGAGCCAGAGATCTTTCTGTGATTATATTGCCAAGGGATCTGTCATCGTTGTAAGTGGGACCAAGGGCCTTGGCAGAATTCCTGAATTATTTTGCAAAACAATCTCCAAAATCAATAAAGGAGAATATTCGTAGCTCAGGGTTTCAGTGAAGGGTTGGTGGCCTCTGAGCTTGCTTGTTTTCTTGCAGATGTTTTCATTACCCTAACTAGGCAACATCCTCAGTACTGGAAGGGAGTAGGGTTTGTGGAAAGGAGGAGGAGGAGGAGGAGGAGGAGGAGGAGGAGGAGGAGGAGGAGGAGGAGGAGGAGGAGGCCAACTGTTGGGTCCTTGGAGGTCTCTGAGCTTGGTTGTTTTCTTGCAAACATTTCATTACCAAACTAGGTAACATCATCAGTGCTAAAAGGGAGTAGGGTTTGTGGAAAGGAGGAGGAGAAGGAGGAGGAGGAGGAGGAGGAGGAGGAGGAGGAGAAGGAGGAGGAGGCCAACTGTTGGGTCCTTGGAAGTCTCTGAGCTTGGTTGTTTTCTTGCAAACATTTCATTACCAAACTAGGTAACATCATCAGTGCTAAAGGAGGAGGAGGAGGAGGAGGAGGAGGAGGAGGAGGAGGAGGAGGAGGAAGAGGAGGAAGAGGAGGAGGAGGAGGCGGCCAACTGTTGGGTCCTTGGAGGTCTCTGAGCTTGGTTGTTTTCTTGCAAACATTTCATTACCAAACTAGGTAACATCATCAGTGCTAGAAGGGAGTAGGGTTTGAGGAAAGGAGGAGGAGGAGGAGGAGGAGGTGGGGATGAGGACCGTGGGGTCCTTGGTGCTCTCATTTTCAAATGAAAATGTGTTGTGGAGATCTCCATCTAAATGAATGATCTTGGTAGTCAAAACAAGTAAAAAAAAAATAAAATTGGATGGAACGTGTCCCCCCAGCCACTCCAATAATTTCCATCACAATTACTGTACTCTCGTGCCCTATTTAATGCCTTCATATCAGTGGTGGGTTCCCCCCAGTTCCGCCCGGTTCCACTGAACCGGTAGCGGTGACGATATGACATCACCGAACCGGTTCTGCCCTCCCCGCCCCACCCCCACCCCCCGCGTTATTCTTACCTTTTATTTGGCCCCACCCCCAATCTATTGCTGCCTCCTGAGTCCCAGCTGATGGCTAGAGGGAAAAAAACTTTAAACTCTTGCCGCGGGGCTTCAAAGGGCCGCCCAACAACTGATCAGTGTTAAAAGAAAACAAATGAGTAGACCAGTGCCTGCAAAAATAAATGGGTAGACCAATGCCTGCAAAAATACATGAGTAGATCAGTGCCTACAAAAATACATGAGTAGATCAGTGCCTGCAAAAACTAAATGGGTAGATTGGTACAGCTCTGCAAGCAGTTAAAAGCCTGGTAGACCAGTACCTCTGCTAAATCCTAAATAATTGTCACATGACCATCAAGCCACGCCCACAAAATAAGCCACGCCCACAGAACCGGTAGTAAAAAAAATTTAGAATTCACCCCTGCTTCATACCTTAACGTATCCTTTAAGGAAATAAGCAGGATCAAATATCGCACAAACTTTTCTAGCGGATCAATTATTCAAAAGGATTTTCTTTTCAGAAATCCAAAGAAGGGAGTTACACCACTCACCTCCCTTTATATTTTTGTGTAGGGATGTATATGGGGTGTAGAAAAGGAAGCCAAAATTTGCCATTGGTTCTTTCGAAATTCAGTTTCTTTATGAATCTGATTTTGAATCCAAATTAAACAATGTTGCGTTTAGGGAAATAAAATAATTTTTGTTTTGAATAAAAGATAAATTTGTACTGTTGTGCCCTTCCCCCACTCCCCAAAAAATGATATTCTTGTTATGGTCGAAGGTGTATTTTCCACACCACAGTTCAGAAGCATTACCTTTTTATTAATTTAGCCTTTTTGATACCAGTTTTCACAGCGATATGCAACAATTGGACACTAATGATGCGCTGATAAGGTGCACTGATGATGTTAGCTAGTTGGGTAATTAAATGTCTTCAAGAAAACTTCCAAGTTCAGAGAGCACCAAGGTCCAAGGACCCCACAATTCAACCCCGAGCTACAAATACAGGTAGTCCTTCACTTACGACCACAATTCAACCCAACATTTCTGTTGTTAAGTGAGACATTTGTTCAGTGAGTTTTGCTCCATTTTACGACCTTTCTTGTTAACCACCGTTGTTAAGTGAATCACTGCAATTGATAAGTTAGCAACCTGGTTGTTAAGTGAATCTGGTTTCCCCATTGACTTTGCTCATCAGAAGGTCGCAAAAAGGGATCAAACGACCTCGGGACATAGCAACCACCATAAATAGATGCCTTGGTGGTGCAGCAGACTAAAACTGCTGTTAAAGTAGCACTTAGCTGCCAGCTGCCTGCAATTACTGCGAGTTCAATTCTCACCAGGCTCAAGGTTGACTCAGCCTTCCATCCTTCCGAGGTAGGTAAAATGAGGACCCGGATTGTGGGGGCAATAAGCTGACTTTGTATAAAAAAAGAACACCACTTAAGGGGGGCCCGAAAGCCCTACTAAGCAGGTATATACAAAAGTATGAAGGCTATTGCTTAACGCATTGTAAGCTGCCCTGAGTCTCCGGAGAAGAGCGGCATATAAATCGAACCAATAAATAAATAAATAAATAATAAATAAATTTGCCCTGGTCACATCTGCAAATTTAATGGCTCAATGGAGACATCAACACTTCAAATGGTATCTGGGCTGCAAAAGTTCAAATGAGCAGGAAAAAAAAGGAAAAAATGGACATTTGCAAGACAGATGGGATGAAGACAGGGCGTTGTGATAAGATATAACCTTGGTTTTGAATTACTTCAAAAAATTCTACTGTTGCTTTTTGGCCATTGTTAAGTCATTAGTTTGTGGCCAGGCCATATTTTTAATGTGATTTACAGAATTACAAACACACACACGTATGTTTTAGTTGCTGGGAGGGTGAAGTGTGTTTTTTTTCATTGCATTGATGTTGGGACTGAAGGAAGTGGGTGCTTAATGCAACTGCTATCTCGGTTACTGATAGCAAACCATTTAGGAAAGAACTTTGCACAATATTGCTCTATGACCGGTACATGTTATCTTTGATAGCAAGACATCCTAAACTGCAATTTGAAATCTTTAATCTTTAGAAACTCTTATTAGAGGAAATGTTGTGGACCCCAATGCGCTATCTGAAAATATATTCTTAAAAAAATATGGATCAACTGCTTGGGGAATGCCAAATTCTCAAGTGGGAAGTATCCAGGAGTGAAATCCAGCAGGTTCTGGAGATTCAGACAGCGAGGAGGCTGGTGTGGTGCTGCGCCAGCAGCCTGTGCAGCTGGCACTCGAGTCAGACAATGAGGAGGCTGGAGAAGATGTGGTGCCAGAGGCGGGGATTCAGCCAGGGCCTTCAGAACCTCCAGAAGCTCCCTTATGTGAAGAGGACGAAGAGGAGGAGCCTCTTCTCGATGCACGGGCATGCAGAGCTGCCAAAAGGCAGGAGTGGCTCCTCAGGAGGAGGTCTCCTCGAGAGTAAGACTTGGGGCTAATTGGTCACTCCCTTAACCTATTTAAGGAAGAACACCGACTGAAGCAATTTGCAGGGAACAACTTCGTTCATATACCTCCGTGTCTTGTCTTGCTTATCTTATCAGCTTCCTGCAAATTGCTTCTGGGCATTCTGCCAACCATAGTAAGCTTTCAGTTATTATTTTTTGAATTCTTGGCGGCTGTTAATGCCAATTAATTAACAGCTGTTGTTGTAAAAGACTGGTTTATTCAGGAAACTAAGGTTTGAACGGACTTTGTGTGTGCTGCGTTCTTTGGGGTCCGTAGCTGGGGCAGAACATCAGTTGTGGTCAAAGTGTTTCTCAACCTTGGCAGCTCCTAAGACAGGTGGCCTTCAACTCCTGGCTAGGGAATTCTGGGAATTTTGGGAGTTGAAGGCCACCCATCTTAAAGCTTCCACCACACTAGAAAGTATGCTTAAGTCAAGGCAGGCATGTTGGGTTGTGAAAGTCCTTTTAGCTTGGTTTTGGGATTGCAAACATTTCATTACCATACTAGATAATTTCATCAGCGCTACAGATGTGGGGAAGTTTGGTCTTTGGGTTGGTAAAGGTTGAGTAGATAAATGCGTCCATTTATAAATTTAGAAATGTCTCCAAATGTCTCAGCCTCCCTCGATTGCTTAAAATAAGCACATTGCTTAAAAGAGGAGAAAACTATATAATTTTAAATGAATTACAGCATTTTGGGTTATTACTCTCTTTTTTTATTATTATTTGTAGATTTCTGCTGGTGCTGGTTTGTTTAATTTTCAGTGTTCTGTCTACTATAGAACATTATGCAGAATTTGCCACCGGAACGCTTTTTTGGATGGTGAGTGATCTATTTTGAAATATTAGATAAATTGCATATAGTGCAGACCCGCTGGGACCTTTCTGTGAAAAAGTGAACAAGTGAAAAGACCAGATTTATTTATTAGATACCGTATAATGTGCTATTTTGACATGTTCTGGTACCTGAGAAAAAATTACTGAAACCAGAGCAAAATTATCATAAGATACAATAATAAATGCACAGGTATAAAATAGGTGGTACCTGGCTCAACAGTAGCAATTATGAGAGGGAACCTGGAGTCTTAGTGGACAACCACTTAAGTATGAGGTAGCAGTGTGTGCAGTGGTGGGGTTCAAATATTTTAACAACTGGTTCTCTGCCCTAATGACCAGATGGGTGGGCGTGGCCATGGTGGGCGTGGCCAGCGGATGTGACAGGCAGCACTCAGCCTCCTGCACCCCGCTGGGAGCAAAAACGAACCGGGTGGGGGAGTGTGCTGCATTCCTCCATGCCCCATTTTTTGCTTAGCATGCCTCCCTGCAGCCTCCTGGGACCAAAAACTGGCTGGGGGGAACCCCCGCGCTCTGTCCCCACCCTCTTGCGCAAGCGTGCATGACCCCCACCCCCGCGCATATGCATCCTGAAAATCAGCTGGCCGGCAGGAGGTACGTGCATACATGCGCAGTGCAGCTGAGCTGGGCGACTGTTTGTGTGCCTGCAGAGAGGGCTCTGTGTGCCAGCTGTGGCACCAATGGTGGGATTCAGCCAGCTCGCACCACTTCAGGAGAACCGGTTGTTAACTTTCTGAACAGTTTGGCGAACTGGTTGTTGGAAGAAATCATTAGGGCAGAGAACTGGTTGTTAAATTATTTGAATCCCACCACTGTGTGGCACGTGTGTCATACGTTCACCATCATGGCTCTAGGACCATGATGGCGAACCTATGGCACGCCTGCCATAAATGGCACGCGGAGCCATATCTGTGGACACGCAAGCATTGCCCTAGCTCAGGTCCAACGTGCATACGCGTGCCGGCCAGCTCATTTTCGGGCTTTCCGGTCCCACCGGAAGTTGGGAAACAGGCTGTTTTTGGCCTCTGGAGGGCCTCTGGGGGAGTGGGGAAGGCCGTTTTTGTCCTCCCCAGGCTCCAAAAAAGCCTCTGGAGCCTGGGGAAGGCAAAAAACAAGCCTATCAGGCCCATCGGTAACCTTTTTGCCGTCGCGTGCCAAAAGCGGGGGGAGCGCAGGGGGGGGTCACGCGGGCATGCATGGGGGGGCCATGGGAGAGCATTGAATTTTAGGTGTGGGCACAAGTGTGCGTGACCCCCCTGTGCTCCCCCCCCCGCTTTTGGCACACAACGGCAAAAAGGTTAGCCATCACTACTATAGGAATTGTTGGGAGACAGGTGTGTCCTTCAATGTACCAAGAACAGGTGTGGAAGATGGTGTCTTGGGGCTGGCAAGGAGGCAAGGGGCTGCCCCTGGCATTGTACCACTTTTTTTAAAATATAAAATGCTTTCTGAATGGTTGATGTAAATGCATTTTTTAAAAGAATGTTAAAAATAAGCATCATTGTTTCCGATTTTAGGAAATAGTCTTGGTGGTGTTTTTTGGTGCTGAATATGTGGTGAGGCTCTGGTCTGCAGGTTGCAGAAGCAAATATGTTGGTATCAAAGGACGAATGCGTTTTGCCAGGAAGCCAATATCGATAATAGGTGAGCCTTACTTTAAAATAATGTTCCAGTTGTCTAATGCTGAGTGTTTCTTAACCTCAGCAACAGCAACATGTGTGAACTTCATCTCCCAGAATTCCTTAGACAAGCATATTGGCTGGGAATTCTGGGTGTCGAAGTCCACAAATATCAGCAAGGGAATTCTGGGAATTGAAGTCCACAGATGCTGGCTGGGAAATTCTGGGAGTTGAAGTCTATACATTTTAAAAGTTGTTGAGGTTGGGAATCACAGATCTAGAGTATCAAGAACTGCAAAGACATTCAGAAACGAGGGATGTTATTGCTAGTCATAACCATTCTTGCTTCACCTCTATGTATCATTATTGTATGAATTTTCCAGAAGGCCTAAGAAAGTTTTCTTCTTTGTGCAATGGAGATGACCATGTTGCCCACTGTTTAATGCTATTGCTTTCTTACCAAGATGTATAGACGGGTGTAAAATCAGAGGGGTTGTGTATGTTTCAGCATAACTCTGGAACACCTCGAGCAATTTCAACCAAACTTGATACACAGATGACTTACACTCTGGAAAAAAAAATACTGTGTGGGTAAGACACCCCTAATATCCCTCAGTGGGTGGGTGTATCTGTGTATCTCTGTTTGTGTGTTCCAGCATAACTCTGAATCACCTGGGCCGCTGAAATGAAAAGGAATGAATTATATCTATAGTGTCAAATCACAGTACTTTTGACAGTGATAGTGTGCAATTTGGATTCAAGTACTGTTAAGATACAGCCTGTTGTGCCTTAAAATGGCTTCTACTGTACAGCACAGTGGAGTTGCCATGGTAACGGCTTCACAGTACTCCACAAGGGGACTCCCTCTGGTAAGGGAGATTGGTTCTTAAAAAGAAAACACCCTAGGCCCTCAGCTTTAAGCAAAGAGGACAAGTTGTCAGGGGAGGTGCTTGCTAATGCAGATAATCACCTCAAAGGCTGTTCCTTGTAGAATTCTTCCCAGCCTGTTGGCCAGGGCAATGAGGTCTCTAATTCTCACCACAGTGGTTGAGGCAGCTGCGTACAATATAGGATTGGGATAAATAAATATCCGGGCAATGCCGGGTTATCAGCTAGTAAATAATAAAATACTGCACTGGAGTAGCTGAGGTAATATCTCTAAGCTGAGATGGCTAATTCAAAACCCGTGTCAGCTTTACATAGTATCAAGCCCTGTTTTGTGGAAGGTTTCTTTTCAAAAAACGGTGTTAAGCAGTGTTGAAATACTTCATGTGCTTTATCAACAGATCTCATAGTTGTGATAGCTTCCATTATTGTTCTGAGCGTGGGATCAAATGGACAGGTGTTTGCTACCTCTGCAATAAGGTATGTTGGAACAATTTTGATAAATTATTTAACAATATCCGGCTTCTCAGCTTTGCATCCTGCCTGTATGCATATGTTTTTATTGCCGCTACCATAATTGTTGTGATTTTTTAAAAAATGTATGTAAAACTATCAAAGGACGGATTTGAATATTTAGAAATATTTAAAATAACAGAGTTGGAAGGAACCTTGGAGGTCTTCTAGTCCAACCCCCTGCTTAGGCAGGAAACCCTACACCACTTCAGACAAATGGTTATCCAACCTCTTCTTAAAAACTTCCAGTGTTGGAGCATTCACAACTTCTGGAGGAAAGTTGTTCCACTGATTAATTGTTCCAACTGTCAGGAAATTTCTCCTTAGTTCTAAATTGCTTCTCTCCTTGATTAGTTTCCACCCATTGCTTCTTGTCCTGCCCTCAGGTGCTTTGGAGAATAGCTTGACTCCCTCTTCTTTGTGGCAGCCCCTGAGATATTGGAACACTGCTATCATGTCTCCCCTAGTCTTTTTTTTCATTAAACTAGACATACCCAGTTCCAGCAAGCATTCTTCATATGTTTTAGCCTCCGGTCCCCTAATCATCTTTCTTGCTCTTCTCTGCACTCTTTCTACATCTTTTTTTACGTTGTGGCGACCAAAACTGAATGCAGTATTCCAAGTGTGGCCTTACCAAGGCAGTATAGAGTGGTATTAACACTTCACGTGATCTTGGTTTGAGATAAGCTATTCCTACCCTTCTGAGACATTGTTAGATAGAAATAAGATCAACAGCAATTAAGAAGCCCTGCTTAATACCTTTATAGGTGAAGAAGAGACAAGATAATATGATTTACTTTCCAAGGTTTTGGAATTCGCATTTTTTTCACGAATTCCAAAAAGTTTCACATTTTTTTCCCCCCTTGCAATAAACCTATCTGTACGGGCACTAAAAATTTGGTTTCCTTGGTTGTGAGCTGCTGTCACTTGCCACTGGCAAGGAAGCCAGAAGTATGCAGTCTCGTGCAAGGAATGAATCATTATCAAAAGAAGCAATAGCACCAGTGTGTAAGAATCTGCTCCTCTCCCCTCCTTATCTGCCTTTTAGGAGAAATACTAAATTGAGGGTGAAGATTCGTTCTCTGAGCTTGTGGGTTGGTTTCCAAATGTTTCGTTACTAGGCTAGGTAACATTTTCACCGGAGAGTTTAGGGGAGGATTGTAGCACACACAAACTATGAACAAAGCTCAATTTACTTCCAAACATAGTTTTCTACAAATGCAGGCTGTTAATTAAAACGTCCTTAACAACCTGCCAGAAAGTCCACAGATAAGATAAAGTCTTACGAGAGTTGGCAGAAAGCCCAGAAGCCAGGTTTGCAGAGAAAATTCAAACTCAATGACCAGCGAGTGAACATGCGTTGTTTCCTGCAACGTTTACAAGCTGTGTGCGAAATTAAATAGGCTAAGGGAGTGGCCAATTAGCCCCAAGCCTTACTCTCGAGGAGACCTCCTCCTCCTGAATAACCACTCCTGCCTTTTGGCAGCTCTGCGTGCTCGAGCATTGAGAAGAGGCTCCTCCACTTTATCCTCTTCACTTGAAGGAGCCTCTGGAGGTTCTGAAGGCCCTGGCTGAATCCCTGCCTCTGGCACCACAACTTCTTCAGTCTCCTCACTGTCCGACTCGAGCGCCGGCTGCACAGGTTGCTGGCGCGACACCACACCAGCCTCCTCGTCGTCGGGATCAGCCACAATCCATGCAGGCCGCTGGCGGGCCACAACACCCATCACAAGGCCCTCACTTGACACACCCACACCTGAAGCCCTTATAAACAGAAGAACACTGATACTCAGATCTCGTAAACTCCACTGAAAATGTTACCTAGCCTGGTAACAAAACATTCGGAAACCAACCCACAAGATTGGAGAACGAACCTTCACCCTCGTCCTACTCCCAAACTACAGATGTTCACCAGCGGTGGGTTTCACATATTCTTACCACTGGTTTGCCGTGTGCGCGCGCCTTCCACGCATGCGCCCGGCCTCGAAAACGTGGCTAAATAGGATGGCATTATGCCGGAACGGGTGGGCAGGCCCACCCGCAGTTGCCACAACCGATTCGTTCGAACCGGTCTGAACCGACTGAATGCCACCTCTGATGTTTGCCACTATTGCAAATACGAAATTAATTTGAATGCAATAGAATTCAGCTTATTTAAGATGTACCGTAAAGTTAGAAGAAGTAGGGTTAATGAATTTCAATGAATATTGATTGAAATACAGGTAGTCCTCAACTTATAACAATTTGTTTAGTGACTGAAGTATTACAATGGTACTTTTACTTTACTTTACTTTACTTTACTTTACTTTACTTTACTTTACTTTACTTTACTTTACTTTACTTTCATTTGATTTGTATACCACCCTACTCCCAAAGGACTCAGGGCGGTGAACAGCCAACGATAAAATACATACATACAATATTTAAAAAACAGAAATAAAATCGAATTAAATAGTTTGGCCCAGACAGATTAAAACCCCAATCAATTTAAAACAAATTTAAACTTTGAGGAGTAAAAATTTTAAAAATTAAAATATTAAAATTGTTTTAAAAAGGGGGAAAATTAGGCCAGGCTGAAAAAAAAGTGACTTATGACCAGTTACACTTAACAATCATTGCAGCATCCCCATAGTCACATGATCAAAATTTGGGCACTCATATATTTATGACAGTTTCACTGTCTTGGGATCATGTGATCCAGTGGTGGTATTCAGCCGGTTCAGACTGGTTCACAGGAACCGGTAGCGGAAATCACGGGTAGCCCTGCTCACCTGCCCTGGCTCTATGCCATCCTATTTAGGCATGGTTTTGAGGCCAGGCGCATGCACGGAAGGTGCCCGCACCAGCAAAGCACATGCGCGAAAGGCCAGGTGCATGCGTGGATGCGTGTGCTCACATTTCGGAACTGATAGAGAAAGGTAAATGAATACCACCCCTGAAGAGATCCCCATTTGTAACCTTCCCAGCCGGCTTCCCACAAGCAAAGTCAGTGGGGGAAGCCAGATTTGCTTAATGACCACATGATTCACTTTTTTTTTTTTAATTTGATTTATATGCCGCCCTTCTCCGGAGACTCAGGGCGGCTTACAATGTGCTCAGCAATAGCCACAACTGTGGCAAAAAGATCATAACACGGGTTGTTAAAACCCATTGAACATCCGCCTTGCTTAACATCAGAAACTTTGGGCTTAATTGTGGTCGTAATTCGAGGACTACCTGTAAAAGGTCATGACTTCTAATCACAATCTTAACACGAGAATTGAGAATGAAAGAATAAAATCAAAACTACGAAGGAAGCGGAAAAGAGTTGGATGGAGGTTATGAGATACTAAAAGGAATGATGTACTGCACAAAGTGTATAGAATAAAAAGAACATAGGAACAAGGATGGTTTGGAGAAAGTTGTGTAATTGTAGATTAGGCAAACTGGATTTAATTGTATTTCTTATTTTAGGCCTTCATTTCTTTGGCTTACTATTCTTGACTGCTGTTCTGCACTTTGCAGAATACCCCCCCAAAAAATGTATATACATAATGTATGTATCAGCACAAGTCTTTCCGCTAGGTATTCAAAATAGATAGATAGATAGATAGATAGATAGATAGATAGATAGATAGATAGATAGACAGACAGACAGACAGACAGACAGATAGTTAGATAGATAGATAGGCAGGCAGGCAGGCAGGCAGGCAGGCAGGCAGGCAGACAGACAGACAGACAGACAGACAGACAGACAGACAGACAGATACCGTGTTTCCCCGAAAATAAGACTGGGTCTTATATTAATTTTTGCTCTAAAAGACACATTAGGGCTTATTTTCTGGTTAGGTCTTGTTTTGGGAGAAATACGCTACTAAATGCATCCATCTGGCTGACAATCTTAACTGGAGCTTATTTTAGGGGTAGGGCTTATATTACGAGCATCTTGAAAAATCATGCTTGGACTTATTTTCCGGTTGTGTCTTTTTTTCAGGGAAACAGGGTAGATAGATAGATAGGGAGGGAGGTAGAGGTAGAGGTATGTATGGTGCAGGTATATTTTATGTATGTATATCACATGTGTTATGTATGTGTTTGGGTAGAAATACACTTTCTTTTGAAGAGCTGGCATGAGAATGCTCACAGTAAAAAAAAAAAAAAAAAGACAATGAAAGTTATCTTAAGTGCCAGCCTCCCCATCACTCTTAATTCCAGACTTTGACACATAAAAAACACTAGTTTCGATCTTCACTCTACATTTTCTCTTCCAATGTTTCTTTTAAGGGGAATCCGGTTTCTGCAGATCCTTCGCATGCTTCATGTAGACCGACAAGGTGGGACTTGGAGACTCTTGGGGTCTGTGGTATTCATACATCGTCAGGTACCGTGTGAAATGTGAAGCACGCTTCTGCTGTTGCAAACACTATCGCTTTTCAACTTGCCAAAGAGCTAAGGGGAGAGGGAAGGGTGAGATGGAATGCAGGCTCCAGACTTCAAGCAGAAGAGCCGTGAGAGCCAAGGACACATCGGCAGGTGTCTGCCAAGCCCAGAGACTTTCCTCATAACAAAATAATGGCACTCAATTGGATAATGTGACCTATACAAATAGGGGGAGGGGGAATTTCATATTGTAACTATATGGGTTAGTATGGGAAATAATCAGAACTGGTTTTGCCTTCTTGAGTGATGAAATGATGTACTCAATATATTTGTACTCAACCTTTCAAAAATCTCAAAGGTGTTTATTTTGGTTGGGTTCATCAGTCAGAACGTTGATATACCGTATGTGAGCAGAATATTATATATACATATACATGTACATATATATATCAAATTTATATTTTGCTGATAAAGAAATAAAGGGAGACTAGTATAGATCTATTTCAAGCTTTTTAGCTTTCATCAGCTAGCCATACCCTTACTTGGATTCGAACTTGGGCTTCCTGCATGTTTGGCAGTTGAATTAACCTTCTGAGCCACAAGTTCTCCTCCCTTCATCAGCTTCATCAACATATATATGTTGTTGTTGTTACTTGCGAAGTCATGTCCGACCCATCGCAACCCCATGGACAACATTCCTCCAGGCCTTCCTATCCTCTACCATCCTCTGGAGTCCATTTAAACTCAAGCCGACTGCTTCAGTGACTCCATCCAGCCACCTCGTTCTCTGCCGTCCCCTTTTTCTTTTGCCCTCAATCGTTCCCAGCATTAGGCTCTTCTCCAGGGAGTCCTTCCTTCTCATTAGGTGACCAAAGTATTTGAGTTTCATCTTCAGGATCTGGCCTTCTAAAGAGCAGTCAGGGTTGATCTCCTCTAGGACTGACCGGTTTGATTGCCTTGCAGTCCAAGGGACTCACAGGAGTCTTCTCCAGCACATCAAGTACCGTATGGCAAAAACAGAAGGGAAGAAGAACTTGTTATGGGGATGTAGTATCCTTGGGACTGAAGCCCAATTTATATACTGTGGCTCCTAAAAGGCATACTATTGTTTATGATTTGTCTTAGCTATAGTCTAATTAGACAGTCGTTGAATAAATTTTCACAGGTATTTCTTGACTTACAACCAAGTTACAACCTATCTGAAAAAGAAGACTTACGACCAGATCTGAAGTTCCAAGACACACTCTCACAGTCAATTGACTATACTTCGGGTCAATACAGTTGCATTTATGGCTGTTTGCAACATCCCATGGTCACGGACCACATTTTTTTCCAAAACCTGGCACTTATTTCTGGGTTTTTGCAAAACCGTGCCCTAGCGAACAATAGGTTCGCACTTACGACCACTACATTCACACAATGATCACTGTAAAAATTTTAGAAAGTCAGATTGGTCCTCTGACCAACCCATTTTATGACTATGACAACTTATGATTGTAATAGGCAGGTTGTAATTCGAGGACTACCTGTATTGTGGTTCACTGGGAGATATCCGTTGCATGAAAATTATGCAATCGGTTTTTTATATACAGAAGGTCAAGAAACAAGAACATTAAATATGAACGATATTATTTAAAAGTATTATACACATGGAATGTTGTGTTTATTTATATTTCATGTTTCTTAACCAGAGAGGGACCCTGCGCAGTGTACAATTTCATCAATAAAATTAAGAGCTGGGGTGGCTCACCAGTATCTGGTTAGAATGCGATATTGCAAACTAATTTTATCCACTGCCGGCAGTTCGATTCTCACCGGTTCAAGGTTGACTCAGCCTTCTATCCTTCTGAGGTCGGTAAAATGAAGACCCAGATCGTTGTGGGCAACAGGCTGACTCTGTAAAACCGCTTAGAGAGTAAAGCCCTGTGAAGTGGTATATAAGTCTAAGTGCTATTGCTATTATGTCCAACCTTTCAAGCTCTAAGAAATTCATTGTTGTTTTCCTTAGGAACTCATAACTACCCTGTACATTGGATTCTTGGGCCTAATCTTCTCATCGTATTTTGTCTACCTTGCTGAGAAAGATGCTGTGGATGAAAAGGGACAAACTGGGTTCTCCAGCTATGCTGATGCTCTGTGGTGGGGAGTGGTAAGTCTAGTTCTCTGGATATCATAGGAACAGGAGTGGGGCTGCTGGGGGTTCGCAAGGGTTCGGGAGAACCTCTAGCTAAGATTCTGTACAGTTCGGAGAACCCCCAAATCCCACTCCTGGCTGGCCCCGTCCACCCTGCCCCACCCCTCCCAGGAGTCCCCACGTGGCCCATTTCGGATGCAGGTAAGTGCAGGATGCACGCGGAGGTGAAAAATGGGCCTACCAAAGGTTCAGGCCCATTTTTGGCCTCCAGAGGGCCTCCGGAGCCTGGGGAGGCTGTTTTTGCCCTCCTGGAGGCTCAAGGAAAGCCTCCGGAGCCTGGGGAGGAAAAAAGCCCCCCCCCTGCCGTGGTGCAGGAGGCCACACCCATCATGGCCACGCCCACCCAGCAACCAGGCAGAGAACTCCTTGCTAAAATTTTTGAAGCCCAGCCCTCGATGCGGCAGCTGTGTGGTCCCTGGAAACTTGATTAAAGAGGGAGATTTTATAGAAACGAGAGCCAGTTTAATTTAGTGGTTAAGTAATCAGGCTAGAAAGTGGACTCCAAGGTCACTTCCAGCACTATGATTCTCTGATTCTTTAGCTCAGATGAGGCTTCTTCTGAACAAGGCAGCTAGTATATCTCCACTTTGGACCTGAATAGCTGTACATCCCTAATGTGCTTTCCTGAGAAATTGTTCTCCCTGAATGAAAACCTTCAAAAGTGAGAAGTCGATTACTTTAAAATGGAAAAATAAACACCAGAGGAGTCCGTATTAAATAGTGTCAGGAGTGAAGGAAGATAAAAAAAATATTTCCAAAAATCATTCAGTTCTATACTTAGGTCTGAAAACTTTGCAATAAGAATTACGATTCCATTACACAAGGATGATTCCGTCTAATGAGATTAACAGGGAAAATAGAATGATTGCTACAGATGTTATAACTAAAAATAATTTCCACCTTCAAAAACTATGCGAGTTTCTTAAGAGCACTTATGTGCCTGCTATTGGAAAAGGATGAATAAACAAATCTTTAACTCATTCTTTATAATAACCACTCATGGGTTTGGCAAATATAAATTACAATTGATCTATGGCCAATTTCTACTGTTATTCGGATTTTTTGAGTGAGTCAGCTCTCATGAAATGACCAAAATATGACAACTTCTGTTTGGCAATCTTGGCCTCAAGTGATATTTTTGGTGAGGCTGAGTCTAGGACTTCTTTGTTTGTTATTTTTTGTTTGTTTGTTATTGTTTGTTATTTTTACGGTCCATGGGATGTGTAATAGTCTCCTCCAGCACCATAGTTCAAAGGCCTCCACCCTTCTCCTATCTTCCTTTTTCAGAGTCCACGTTTGGCAGCCATAAGTAGTCATTGGAGACCAAATCCTAATAGCAATAATAATAGTACTTAGACTTATACACCACTTCACAGTGCTTTCCAACCCTCTCTAAGTGGTGTACAGAGTCAGCATCTTGCCCCTAACAATCTGGTCCTCATTTTACCCACCTTGGAAGGATTGAAGGCAGTGTTGTGGCCCGCCAGCGGCCTGCATGATTGTGGCTGATCCCGACGACGAGGAAGCTGGTGTGGTGTCGCGCCAGCAGCCTGTGCAGCCGGTGCTTGAGTCGGACAGCGAGGAGGCTGAAGAGGATGTGGTGCCAGAGGAAGAGACTCAGCCAGGGCCTTCAGAACCTCCAGAGGCTCCTTCAAGTGAAGAGAGTGAAGTGGAGGAGCCTCTTCTCGATGCTCGAGCACGCAGGGCTGCCAAAAGGCAGCAGTGGCTACTCAGGAGGAGGTCTCCTCGAGAGTAAGGCTTGGGGCTAATTGGCCACTCCCTTAGCCTCTATTTAAGTTCGCTCACAGATAGCATACACTGCTGGAAACAATGTTTAATTACTACGCAGAGCATTTTGAGAGTGAGTTTCTTGTTACATCGTGGTTTCTGGGCTGGTTGCCGACCCTTGTCGGACTTTGTTTATTCTCTGTAATTCATAGCAGGGTGATAAGGACATTTGCACTGAAAGCCTGCATTTTGAAAGGGGTCTGTTTGTATTAAATGGAGTTTTTGGAGCTTTGTGTGTGTCACACTCCTTGGGATCCGGAGCTGGGGCAGAACAGGCAGTGGTGGGGTTCAAATAATTTAATAACTGGTTCTCTGCCCTAATGACTGGCTGGGTGGGCATGGGCATGGTGAGTGTGGCCATGGTGGCATGGCCAGGGGTGTGTGACAGGCAGCACTGGCCTCTTGCACCCCCCTGGGAGCAAAAATGAGATGGGGGGGAAGTGCCAACTCCCCCATGCCCTGTTTTGGGTCTAGTAGACCTCCCTGCAGCCTCCTGGGAGAAAAATGGGCCATGGGTGGGTGCTCCCCCCGCACCCAATTTTGGGCCTCGTAGGCCTCCTGTACTTTCCTGGGAGCCAAAATGGGGCACATGGGGACTCCTGGAAGGGGTGGGGGGGTAGGGAGGGGCAGGGCCAACCAGCAATTTAACTACTGGTTCGCCCAAACCGGCCCGAACTGGCTGAATTCCACCACAGACATTGGAAGGCTGAGTCAACTTTTTAGCCTGGTGAGATTCAAACTGCCAAATATATTCCAGGCAAATGATACCGTTTCTTCTCTCTTTGCGTAGGTGACTGTGACAACAATTGGCTACGGGGATAAAGTGCCACAGACATGGATCGGCAAGACAATCGCCTCCTGTTTCTCTGTGTTTGCAATCTCATTCTTTGCTCTGCCTGCAGTGAGTATATGAGTATTAAGTATGAGCCAAGCAGCGTGCTGCAGCTGCCAAAAAAGCCAATGCGGTCCTAGATTGTATCATTAGAGGGATAGTTTCAAGATCATGTGAAGTGATAGTGCTGCTTTATACTTCACTGGTGAGACCACACTTGGAGTACTGCATCCAGTTTCGGTCACCATGATACTAAAAGAGATACTGAGAACCTAGAAAGAGTTCAGAGACGAGCAACATAGGTGATAAAGGCCCTGGAGACTAAACCCTACAATGAACAATTGAGGGAACTAGGTATGTCTAGTCCAATGAATTAAGGGAGTTGGGGTACATGATATCAGTTTTCCAGTTTTAAGGGGCTGTCACAGAGAAGAGAGGGTTGACTATTCTCCAAAGCATCTGAGGGCAAGAAAAGAAGTAATGGATAGAAGCAGTGGTGGGATTCAGCCGGTTCGGGAAAACCAGTAGTTAAATTGCTAGCTGGCTCCACCTCTCCCCACCCCACCCCTTCCAGGAGTCCCCACACGCCCAATTTTGGCTCCCAGATAAGTGCAGGGAGGCCTCCTAGGCCCAAACGTGGGCACAGGGTTAATGCGGCATCCCACCCCCCCCCAGCAGCCCGTTTTCACTTCCAGGAGGCTTCAGGGAGGCCTCCTAGGCCCAAAATGGGGTGGGGAGGTAGCACGTCATTTCCCCACCCCACCCCAGAGCCCGTTTTTGCTCCTAGGAGATTGCAGGAGGCTGAGTCCTGCCTGTCACACCCCTGGCCACGCCCACCATGGCCACATCCACCCAGCCGAATCATTAGGGGAGAGAACCAGTTATAAATTATTTGAATCCCACCACTGGATGGAAGGTTACCAAAAGAGATCCAACTGGAGCTAAGAAGAAATTTCCTGACAGTGAGAATAATTAATCAATGGAATGGTTTGCCCCAGTGTTCCATTACTGGGGGTATTCAAAAAGAATTGGACAGCCATTTGCCCAGAATCGTATCAGGTCTTCTGGTTGAACAGTGGGTTGGACTAGAAGACCTCCAAGGTCCTTTCCAACCTATTGTTCTATTCTTTATGAGTTGAAATATGATGCAATAAGGCAACACTTTCTGATATTGAAGATTGTTTGTCTGCCTAAAGCAGGGGTCTCCAAACTTGGCAACTTTAAGACTTGTGGACTTCAACTCCCAGAATTCCTCAGCCAGCTTTGCTGAGCTTTGCTGGCTGAGGAATTCTGGGAGTTGAAGTCCACAAGTCTTAAAGTTGCCAAGTTTGGAGACCCCTGGCCTAAAGTATCGGCTTATGCAAGATGATTTAGACCAGGGATGGTGGCCACAAACATTCGAATCAAAGCTCTGTCCCCTTTTTATGAACTTCAAATAAAGGCTTGTTCATTTCTTTATTTATACTAGTTGCTAGTTGCATAACTACAAAGCATCTGAAGGCAATGTGCAAAAATGTTTTAAAAACAAACAAAAAGCAAAAAGTAACCGATAATGATAAAGGAATAAAAGAAGACTGTGTCATGATTAAAGACTTTTTTTAAAAGAAATAGTTTCCTTTGGTTTTCAGGGGATTCTGGGATCAGGATTCGCCCTTAAAGTCCAACAGAAACAGCGCCAGAAACATTTCAACCGGCAGATTCCTGCAGCGGCATCTCTAATTCAGGTAAATACTGAATCGTAAAAAATGAACCGAACCGATAAGATGGAAATGACAGAGAAAGAAGCTGAGCTGAAGTGGTCATTTCCATCTGTGGCCATTAAAGGGAGGGTGGGAAAGAGAGAAGAAGGTTCCAGAGAAATTGTTGCACTCTCGTGTTGGAAAATTAAAAATAAAGAAGTGAAAATAAATAAATAAATAAATCGCCGTGTTTGCTATGAAATAGCAAAAGCCTATTTTTACACCCCGTAGACTTTGTGGAGGAGCTACGCAGCAGAGAAACCTCAGGGCTGCCTGGCCACCTGGAAGATCTATATTACGCCAACTCAGAACTCAAAGAAAACAGCATCACCGCCCAGCCCAAATCTCCGAAAACAGGTCAGAAGGAGCTCCCCACCCCCAATTATTTACATTTATAAAGCATTTTTCCTCAGGCCAAAACCCCCAATGTTTTATCCTCGCAACTCTATACAGGGCAAAAAGTCTGTAGAGATTCTTGGTCATCAGATCATGGTTGTCCCAAAAGTGTTTTTTTCAGGAGGCAACTGGACTTTCTTGTTTTTTCTTTGAAGACGTTTCACTTCTCATGCAAGAAGCTTCCTCAAATCTGACTGGATGGTGGGGAACGGAAGGGAGCATCCTTTTAGAGAGTCGTTGAAGGACTTGGAGGTTTAATTGTGTCCTCAGGGTCACCTGAGTAGTGCTAATGGTTCATGTACAGTAGTGGCCAAAATTGTGGAAACCTTTTGGGAAAAGTGTATTTTCTAAAACTAGCTAATAACACCACTTTTTCTTTTGGGAGTAGTACCATGAAATTATATATCAATGGAAAGATAATTTAATCAAGAATGTAATGCAATAACTTTTAGGAAGGATTTGCTATTAGAATAGCAGTTACACTATAAAGAAGAAAAGTGAAACACAGAAAAAACGATATATACAAAAATTATCACCATAGAAAAAATGAGATATACAAAAATTATCACCATGTCAGTTAATACTTAGTTGGGTAACCTTTAGCATGAATGACGGCCTTACAACGTCTTCCCATGGAGTGAACCAAGTTTTTTAGTTCTGCAGCTGTTCTAATGTGAAACCAAGATTGAATGAGGCTTCTATTAACTGGGTTTTATTGCTGGGTCGCTTCTGACTAACAAGTTTCTTTAGTTGCTCCCTAGATTTTCAATTGGGTGAAGGTCTGGGCTATTCCCAGGCCATTCCAGCAGTGGAATAGGATTATCTTAAAACTCCAAAAAAAAAAGTGATGTTATTAGCCATCAAACCTCAAAAATACACTTTTCCCAAAAGGTTTCCACAATTTTGGTCACTACTCTAGTCTGCAATTATTATTATTATTTAATTACATCAGATTTGGGTATTGGCTTTTGACTATCTAATTCGGGGTGTCAAACTCACAGCCTGCGGACCAGATGCATCACATGCTGGCCACGCCCACCCCTGTTTTAGCGAAGGGGAAAGAAGTTGCGATACGTCACGGGACGACAACGTGACACCGCGAGTTTGTCACCCTTGATCTAGTGTAATGTTTTCAAAATTCTGCAAGCATGATTTTCTCCTGTATATGGAGGATCGTAAAATTTGAGTGTTCTGTTTTGTTTCAGAGTAAAAGATATAAAAGGAAAGGGAAATCCGGGCGTGATAATGGTTTGACATCTATAAATCCAGGGGACACGGCATTATCCGTTCCTCAGATTACTTACGACTTCATTGATGATCAAGAAGACAAGAAAGAATTGAATTTCTACCTTGATGAACCTGGAGGTAAACTATTGATTGTCTCTTTTTGGCTTGGTACTTTTTAGATTAGTACTTCCTAGATTCAGAAGAGACACAGCTGCTTTAATGAGCTGGAGACTCAATACATCCAGAACTGTCCTGACATCTGGATGTGTTTTGTTAAACAAAAGAGGGAGACCTTCAATGACACCATCAGGGTCATCATTTTAATTATTTGGACCATATTTTATGGACAACCCTGGATGTGACATATTCTTGCATGCCTCAAAGTGTTTTCCTAATTGAATCCTAAGCATGTCACAGTTCATGTGAGCTTTAAGTCTACCAAAAGGTATTTCGTTTTGTTTGCGTACACTGTTCTTTTAAAACCTAAACAAGTCAGCCTGCTTAGGATCTGGCTGGCCCCAGAGTGAGGTGGGAATGGAGATTTTGCAGTATCGTTCCCCTGCCACATCCACCAAGCCACGCCCACCAAGCCACGCCCACAGAACCGGTAGTAAAAAAATTGAATTTCACCACTGCTTCATTCCCCTGATTCTGAGATTTAGATACAACAGAGAAAAAGAAAAGTGAAAAACAATTCTGAAATTTATCAGTTTATGTTAGAATCCTTGGTTGTCTGAAGACGTCTCCGTGGTCATGTGACCGGTATGACTCAATGCCAAAGGGGCACGGAATGCTGTTACCTTCCCACCAAAGGTGGTCCCTATTTTTTCTACTCGCTTTTTCTACGTGCTTTCGAACTGCTAGGTTGGCAGAAGCTGGGACAAGTAATGGGAGCTCACCCCATTACGCGGCACTAGGGATTCGAACCGCTGAACTGCTGACCTTTTTGATCGACAAGCTCAGCATCTTAGCCACTGAGCCACTGCGTCCTACAGGACCAAAGGAATAACTAAATATCAATGGTAAACCCACATGTTTCCTGTTCCCTCAATCGCTGAATCTTCATCTCTCGAAATTAAAGTGGTGGGGGAAAAAAAAGGAAGACCTGAAAGAGAAGAGTACTAATTCTTGTCCATGTGTTGTTGCAATTCCTTCACTCTTCCATTGAGTCTCTGTGGTGCCCAGACAAATGAATCTCTCTTTCATCTAATATTTCCTATTTAAGATGGTCAGTTGAGCATCTTCTCTTCCAGCAGAAGGACATTTGCTTCACTGGATGTTCACCAACGGGCATCCTACAAAATTATAATAGTGAACCAGATCTGGAGCTGTTCTGAATGAGAAGTGGCTGGGGAAGGGAGGGTACCGCTCATTCTGCAGCTGTTTCTGACATCTGGCTAATTCTGAATGTGACTTGAGAGATCATTCCTTGGAAAATCTTCCAAGCTTAGATCATGTATAATTTACATTTACCAAAGAAGGTAGCAAACCAAGGTGCATTCCTTTAATATTAATCAAGACAGAAAGTGGGTAGTTGAATTGGAGACTGTGACTTATCTATAATGGACGTTCTGTCCAGCTCCGGATCCCAAGGAGTGTGACACACACCAAGCTCCAAAAACTCTGTTTAATACAAACAGACCCCTTTCAAAATGCAGGCTTTCAGTGCAAATGTCCTTATCAGCCTGCTATGAATTACAGAGAATAAACAAAGTCCGACAAGGGTTGGCAACCAGCCCAGAAACCAGATGTAACAAGAAACTCACTCTCAAAATACTCTGCGTAGTAATTAAACGTTGTTTCCAGCAGCGTGTGCTATCTGTGAGCGAACTTAAATAGGCTAAGGGAGTGGCCAATTATCCTCAAGCCTTACTCTCAAGGAGACCTCCTCCTCCTGAGTAGCCATTCCTGCCTTTTGGCAGCCCTGAGTGCTCGAGCATTGAGGAGAGGCTCCTCCACTTCACTCTCTTCACTTGAAGGAGCCTCTGGAGGTTCTGAAGGCCCTGGCTGAGTCTCTGCCTCTGGCACCACATCCTCTTCAGCCTCCTCACTGTCCGACTCAAGCGCCGGCTGCACAGGCTGCTGGCGCGACACCACACCAGCCTCCTCATTGTCAGGATCAGCCACAATCCATGCAGGCCGCTGGTGGGCCACAACAATGGGCTGGTTGTGGCAGATTCTACAAAATACAAAATAGAGATAGAGAGGGAGAGTTAGAGGGAGACAGAGAGAGGGAGGGAGGGAGGGAGGGAGGGAGAGAGCGCTAGTGCAAAACATGCAACTTGTGAAAATCTTGAACTTTTCTGATGAACGCTTTATTTTTATTTTTTTTCCCCAAGTGAAGGACACTTTGAAAGTTCTCACACAGGTTGCTCAGCTTGTCATAGTTGGGGTCGTTTTTTAGAACAATGGGATAATCTTCCCACCTAGGATCAATTTAGAAACCGCGAAGAACTATGAGGGGCTCTGTTTGAACACATTTGCATCCTTTTTCCTCCATTAGGTCTTACACGGATTTTCAAGCAAACAGGTAGGTTGGGGAGAAAAAAAACCCCCACCACTGTGAATATGCGAGTCGTTTTAAACAAGCATATATAATCTCAGTGATGCAGACCTTAGCTTAATATATATATATATTCTTACTTCTTCGTAGGATTTGTGTGTGTTTTTCCTTTAGCCAGGTTTTTCCTACATAACCAAGGTTTTTCTGCAGCCCTAGCTCAGTAGAATCACATCCACTTGATTATGGGCTTTTTTCTTTCTGGCAGCCAGCAAACTCTTGCTGCCTGGTGAGAGACTTATATAGATCTATTTCTGGCTCGTTAGCCATCATCAGTAAGCCACACCCACATCTCATGTATCCTCCCTGTAAAGGTACAATATCTATTTTCTTACTTCTTCATAGGATTTATGTGTGTTTTTCCTCTAGCCAGGTTTTTCCTATGTAACCAAGGTTTTTCTGCAGCCCTAGCTCAGTGGAATCACTGAGATATTGTACCTTTACAGGGAGGATACATGAGATGTGGGCGTGGCTTACTGATGATGGCTAACGAGCCAGAAATAGATCTATATAAGTCTCTCACCAGGCAGCAAGAGCTTGCTGGCTGCCAGAAAGGAAAAAGCCCAGAATTGGTGGGATGTGATTCCACTGAGCTAGGGCTGCAGAAAAACCTTGGTTATGTAGGAAAAACCTGGCTAGAGGAAAAACATATATATATATATATTATATATATATATATATATATATATATATCTATATATATATATTATTATATATATATATATATATATAATATTATATATCCATTGATAGAATGTACACTTTTTCTTTCCTTTCTATTCAATATTTATTTATTTATTTATTTATTTATTTATTTATTTATTTATTTATTTATTTATTTATTTATTTATTCAATTTATATGCCGCCTTTCTCCGAAGACTCAGGGCGGCTTACAATGCATTTAAAAAACCATTATAAAAACATTTAAAAATTAAAACATTAAAACCCATTCACACCATTCATGGCCGGATCTCCCAAGATCGCAACAGCGAGATCAACGGCCCCAGGCCTGTCGGAAAAGCCACGTCTTCACCGCTTTTTGGAAGGCCAATAGGGTGGGGGTGGTCGGACCTCAGGAGATAACTGGTTCCAGAGAGCTGGGGCAGCCACAGAGAAGGCCCTCCCCCGCGGGCCCACCAGCCGGCATTGTTTAGCTGACGGGACCCGAAGAAGACCAACTCTGTGGGATCTTACCAGTCGCTGGGAGCTATGTGATAGAAGGCGGTCTCAAAGATAACCTGGCCCTGAGCCATGTAGGGCTTTAAAGGTAATAACCAACACCTTGAATTGTGACTGGAGACCAATAGGGAGCCAGTGCAGCTCGCAGAGAATTGGTGTAATGTGGGTGTATCTAAGTGCATCCACGATAGCTCAGGTGGCTGCATTCTGGACCAACTGTAGTCTCCGAACACTTTTCAAGGGTAGCTCCATGTAGAGCGTGTGTTACAATAATCTAACCGTGAAGTGACAAGGGCATGAGTGACTGTGAGGAGAGCCTCCCGATCCAAGTAGGGTCGCAATTGGTGCACCAGGCGAACCTGTGCAAAAGTCCCCTTAGCTACAGCTGTCAGATGTTGTAAATAAATAACTTTAGTGTCATTGTACGTGTATACACAGTATACCATACAACAAAATTCACTTAACACCCAAAGACCGGTCCAACACGCATAACAATCCCCAAACACACTCCCACACCACAATTCTCCACCCTAAACCACCCAAACATCCACACAACAGACCAAGTAGTACTGTCCAACAGCTCGCTGATGGTGGCCCTTTAGTTCATGGTTGAGTGCAATTATAGCTCTGGGATAAAAACTATTCAGAAAATATGTGGTACGAGTTTTAATTGTTCTGTATCTTCTGCCAGAAGGCAACAGTCCAAAAAGTTTGTAAGCAGAATGGGAAGTCTTGAGAATGTTATGCAACTTTCTCAAACAGCGAGATTCGAAGATGTCAACCAGGGCTGGTAGCTGGAGTCCGATGATATTCTGGGCAGTTTTAATGATTCTCTGTAGAGCCTTTTTGTCCGCTACAGAGCTGCTCCCATACCATGCAAGAATGCCGTATGTCAGGACACACTCAATGGTGCTGCGATAGTAGGACAGAAGTAGATGCTGAGATAGATTTATCTTCCTGAGCATCTCAGGAAGTACAGCCTCTTCTGTGCCTTCTTCACAAGCATGTTAGCATTCATAGTCCATGAGAGGCCTCCGCGATATAACTGCCCAGAGAAATTTAAAACTACTCACCCTCTCTACCTCCTCACCATTTATGTACAATGGTAGATGTACATCTATCTTCCTCCTGAAGTCAATTATAAATTCTTTAGTTTTTGTGGTGTTAAGTGTGAGATTATTTTCATTACACCCCAATGTCAGCCCTTGTACTTCCTTCCTATAAGCATACTCATTGTTCATACATTAAGGCATCCAAACAATAAAATATTAAGAATCTAAATATATTGTATAAATACCATTGTACTGAAATAATATATATAATAAAATGGATAAGATGGGGCTTACATAATTATGTTTTAATAATATGTTAAAAGACTGAGGTAAATGTCAACTGCATATTGACATTTTATGGAGATATCTTTTGTTTCTTCAAATGTCACTTATTTGATTACTATTCTGTATATTCTTTTCTGACTTATTAGCATATATTTTGATTGTATTTAAACATACCATAACTTCTGGTTGTTATATTTCACTAATAGAATTCTGTCTATCTGTCTGTCTGTCTATCATCTATCTTTATTTGTCTGTCTATCTGTCTATCATCCATCATCCATCCTTTCTATCCTTTTTCCATCCGTTCATCCATCCTTCCTATCTTTTATCCATCCATCCATGTCTGTCTGTCTGTTCATCCGTCTGTCCTATCTATCTATCTATCTATCTATCTATCTATCTATCTATCTATCTATCTATCTCCAGACAGAGATATAATAAGACAGTATGCTTGATGTTTGTGGATGGATGGATGTTTTTCCATTAGACTTTCTTTATGTTTAATTGATTACTGCAGGAGGCTTATAAAATTGTGCCACCTCATCTCTACTTCCCTGGAAGTAGATTTTATGAGTGGTTAGAGATAAGAGGTAAAAATTAGATGATAGAAGATCATTGCTGTGTATGAATTAAATATAAAGATAGTTTAGAACTATAAATATGCACAATATATTTAACAGAATTATACATAAGGTAATATAAAAGAAATTTAGCCAAAACTATTCTGTTACATTATTACCATTGTTACCAATAATATATATGCTCAATCGTGGTCATAAGTCAAGGACCACCTGTATCAACAAAATGCATTTTGGCTCCTAAAGCTTCAGTTGATAAACTCTATGTTAGAACTGCCGAAAAGGAAATCCTTCCTAACCAAGGTTTTTCTGCAGCCCTAGCTCAGTGGAATCACTGAGATACTGAGATAGGACTGAGATGGGGGGGGGGAGCAAAAGAAGGGGATAACTATAGCTCAAGATTGAACTGTGGAGTCCTTGGTGCTCTCTGAGCTTGGTTGTTGCTTGCAGATGTTTCATTACCTGCCATCATCAGTGTGAAGAAATATGAGGATTGTTCCAGGGGTGGGCTTCAACAAATTTAGCAAGGGGTTCTCTGCCCAGTTGCTGGGTGGGCGTGGCCATGGTGGGCATGGCCTAATTGGCCTCCTGCACCACGCGGGGGGGAGCGTTTTTGCTCTCCCTGGGTTCTGGAAGCTTTCCTCGAGCCTCTGGGAGGGCGAAAATGACCTCCCCAGGCTCCGGAGGCTCTTTGGAGGCTGGAAGCGGGCCCATTTCCAGCCTTCCCGAACTTCTGTAGGCCCATTTTTTGCCCTCCCCGAGCCTCCATGCGCACCCTGCACTTACCTGCATCCAAAACGGGCCGCCTGGGGACTCTTGGGAGGGGTAGGGTGGGTGGGGCCAGCCAGGAGTGGGATTTGGCGATTCTCTGAACTGCACAGAATCTTAGCTAGAGGTTCTCCCGAACCCCCAGCAGCCCATCCCTGGATTGCTCCCATTTATATACAGTAGCTTATTGATATAAGTAGAAAAGGACATGCTGAGGAATTTGGCCTCCCTGGCTAGATTAATGTACATTCCATTTCCCATTTTCACCTTCTAAACTTAGTCAAGAAACATTTGGAAGGCAACAGTGGTGGGATGTCGAGAGCCAGCAGCTTCACTGAAGATGTGGACCTGACAGCTGAAGAGGCCCTTCTGCCTGCTGTAACAGATGTCTCACAGTAAGTCCAATTGTTATATTTTCTTCTTAGGGTAGTTTAATCGGGCTCTGTGGATGTTTTTATCTGAATGCAAAGCTGGATGGCAAGCCTCGGGAAGGGTCTGTGTGCCAAAGGCTCTTTGGCAGTCTGGAGTCCATGCCAACAATTGTCCTAGTCTCGCTTTCAGACCCGATGATTTCGTGTGGAGTAAGTCAGTTAATGGGAGAGCTATCTGAGCAAACGCTGGAATAAACTGCCGATAAAAGTTTGCAAAGCCAAGGAAACTCTGTAATTGTTTCCGCGTAGTAGGTGCCTGCCATTCCAGCACCGCGCTCACTTTCCTCGCGTCCATTTCCACCCTGTCCCCTGAGATGCGATACCCTAAATAATCCAACTTCATGCAGTGAAATTCGCACTTCGACAGCTTAACGAAAAGTTTTGCTCGCAGCAGTTTGGATAACACCTGTCGCACTAAGCTCGTATGTTCCTCCATTGTCCTGGTGTAGATTAGGATATCATCCAGATAAACGAGGACACCCCGATATAGGTGCTCATGCAATACCTCATTTATTACTTGCATAAATACAGCTGGAGCACCCTGTAGGCCGAATGGCATCACCAGGAATTTGTAACTACCTAATGGGCAGTTGAATGTGGTCTTCCACTCATCGCCCGGTTTTGATCTGCGGCGGGAATTGGCTGTGGACGCTTGGTTGATAGAACACAGGACTACATTAACTCACCAAGATGGTTTTGCTTGGATGGGAGACAAGTTGTACGTTCCTGGGTCACTGCGGCAGTCAGTGCTACATAGATGTCACGATACGAAAACGGCTGGCCATTTTGGCTTTCTCAAAACATTACACCTAGTAAGACGCCAATTTTGGTGGCCACGCATGAGAAAATTGCTTGTGAGTAGTGAGTAGATGTCTTGGGTGGGCAACTTTTGCAAGAGGGAACATATTTGGAATTTTTGCAGCATGTTGTAGATGCATTCACAACATTGTTTGCACAGAAAGGAGAAATCTTTGGGCGTTTTTTAAACAGTTGCCATGTTGGTCAAAAAGCTAAAGTCTCTGAGGCAATCTCATCTCTTGGTTCATCGTCGTCTTTTAATGACCTCTTGTGGGGTAGAGTCTGGACAACTGAATGGAGCTGAGTGTTTACTGACCGGATGTCCTTCTTGTCACCTGACCTGGGGCACTCACATTGCAGCACTGGTCAAAAGGGCCCAGCAGAGATTATACTACCTGAAACTTCTCAGGAAACAACAATTGAATGGAAAACTGCTGGTGACCTTCTACCGCTGCACCATAGAGAGTATTTTAACTTACTGCACCTGTGTCTGGTTTGCCAATTGCATAGTGGCTGATAGGACAGCGCTCCAGAGGGTCAATGTCATTGCCCAGAGGATCATTGGTTGCCCTCTCCCTTCATCGGAAGAGCTTTATAGCTCCCACTGCCTTAAGAAAGTTCAAAACATTCTTAAAGATCCATCTCATCCTGGGCACCCTTTTTTTTTTTTTTTGAACTATTACCATCTGGCAGACGGTACAGGTCAATAAAAAAGGACCAATAGGCTGAAAAACAGCTTCTATCCCAGGGCAGTAACTATATTGAATTCTACTGTATAGTGCAATATTAATGCAATATCGGTTTTCAATTCAATTGTATAGAATGTGAAGGATGTGTGTTTGTGTTTTATTTTCATAATTATAATGTATGCTGGAGATGGCATTTAATTTCATTGTATGAGATGCAATGACAATAAAGTAAACTAAACTCTACCTAGGATCAAACTCGCAGCCTCCTGATTGTGAGGCGAGAGCGCCGCCTCTAGGCCACCACACCACTCAACCTCATCTCTAGATTGATGGTCCATAAATGTTCAGACAAAACAATTACATCACAAATGACTAGAGTGGATCCCGGCAATCCCTTTTGTGACATCCAGAACATTCCTATTAATGAATACAATGGTCAACCTCCTAGGTTTTATGGAAGGTGTTAATAGTTCTGTGTGCTTTTATGCTTTCTTCTAAATTACATTTGAAACTCAGAGTTTTAGTATCAGCTTATATGCAATATAACTTAGTCAAACAATAGTAGGCTGGAAATAGAATAGAATAGAATAGAGAGTAGAATAGAGTAGAGTAGAGTAGAGTAGAGTAGAATAGAATTTTTTATTGGCCAAGTGTGATTGGACACACAAGGAATTTGTCTTTGGTGCATACATTCTCGGTGTACATAAAAGAAAAGATACATTCGTCAAGAATCATAAGGTACAACATTTAATGATAGTCATAGGGAACAAATAAGTAATCAAATCATATTAGGAAACAGTCAATATAAATCTTAAGGATACCAGCAACAAGGTTACAGTCATACAGTCATAAGTGGAAGGAGATGGGTGGTGGGAACGATGAGAAGATTAATACTAGTGCAGACTTAGTAAATAGTTTGACAGTGTTGAGGGAATTATTTATTTAGCAGAGTGATGGCGTTCAGGAAAAAAACTGTCCTTGTGTCTAGTTGTTCTGGTGTGCAGTGCTCTATAGCGTCGTTTTGAGGGTAGGAGTTGAAACAGTTTATGTCCAGGATGTGAGGGGAAACGAACTAAATCCAGAGAATCGTACTAATTTATCATGTCTTAATCTTGTGATTTCCAAAATGCCTGCTTCAAAATTAGTTGATGGTTTCCTCCAGTTCACTGTACTGATCTGTTCTGCATTTTGGTCATTCAGCTAGGATTCATTATACAATGTGAAGAACTGATGATTATTTGATAGAACCTCAGTGCTTCTGATTGTCTGGATCATGGCAATCAGCATAATTAGCAATGTTTACAATCTGATTCATAAATGATTGATAGTGGTCTTTTTCTAATCATGATCCTTAGGCCTGAAAGGGTAGCTAATCAAACTATAAATCAGAATTTTCAACCATAGCACCAGTTCTCTAGGAACATGTATTTATTCAATGTATGTGAAGTAATAATCTTTGATTTGGATTTTTAGCATTGGGGAGGATGACTTAAGTAAGCAAAAGGGAAAGTAATTCAAGGATTCAGCCCTACAGATTGGAAAATTCCTGTGTCCTAAGATATTTCAGCATCTGTTTTATCTACAAAATAATATAAAGTATTTTTTTGTGTGTGTGTTTTCTGCATTGGTTGGTTTAAAAAGGCATGAAGGATGTTGCTCTATTTTGATTGTTGGACATTAGAGGGTGCTCTATCATAATAAAACCTTTTCCCGTTCTCCTGCTGTTCACCTTTCAGCAAATGAGCCAGGACGAAATGTGTATTTTGAGCCAAGAATTTTTAGAATGAGTGAGTGAGGTTATTCTAGCAACCAGATTTAACATTTGGTTAAATCACTCACTTTGTTACCGATGCTGTTTTAATAGAACTAAACTCTCCATTTGGAGTCCTTGACAGGAGCAGATGCAAATGTTAATAAACATTTCAACATTATAATGTATTTGAGGCAGGGGTGGGTTCTAAATTTTTTTACTACCGGTTCTGTGGGCGTGGCTTATTTTGTGGGTGTGGCTTGGAGGTCATGTGACTGGGTGGGTGTGGCTAGCTGGTCAGAGTCATTTCTGGAAGGTCCTCGCACTTACGACCCGACTCATTTGTTTGCTTTTAACACTGATCAGCTGTAGGACGGCCCTTTGAAGCCCCGGGGCAAGAGTTTAAACAGTTTTTCTCCCTCTAGTCATCAGCTGGGACTCAGGAGGCAGCAATAGATTGGGGGTGGGATCAAATAAAAGGTAAGAATAACGTGGGGGGGGCGGGGGGGGAGAACCAGTTCGGTGATGTCATATCGTCACCGCTACCGGCTCGGCCAAACTGGACCGAACCAGGAGGAACCCACCACTGATTTGAGGCACATAATTAGTTTACTCTGAAAATCAGCCCGCATTGGACAACTAGAGCATAAGGTTCATAAAGGCATCTCTTGTGTCTTTTTTTATAAATGTTTCTCGATTTTAGCAACTTTAAGAGGCTTGGATTTCAACTCCCAGAATTCCCCAGCCAGCCATGCGATCAGTTTTTGAGACCTTCTGAGAAGCAAAGTCAACGGGGAAGCCAGATTCACTTAACAATCGAGTTACAACTTATCAACTGCAGTGATTCACTTAACAACCGAGGCAAGAAAGATCGTAAAATGGGGCCAGATTCACTTAACAAATGCCTCACTTCACAACAAAAATTTTGGGCTCAATTGTGGTCGTAAATCAAGGACTACCTGTATTGCTATTCAGTTAGGTCTCTGTTAAAGTCCTGAATTACTTCATTGATTTCTATGGGCAGCTTTCAAGTGCCTGAAGATCTTCTTTATAACTTCAGAAGGGGTTATTTGTGTCTCCTTCCTGCTGTAGTGTTGAGCTAGTCAATATTCATCTATCCATCTATCCATCCAGGGATGGGCTTCAAAAATTTTAGCAAGGGATTGCTTGCACATTGACTTTAAACCAGAGATATTTTTATTAGGGATTTTACCAGAAATATACAATAGAGAAATGAGATATTTAATTGTGAATGTTTTAACGGCAGCTAGAATTGTATTTGCTAAAAACTGGAAAGGAGAGAAAATACCCACGGATGACGACGTTATCAAGAAAATTTTGGAGTGTGCTGAAATGAGTAAATTGACATTTGAAATTAGGGAACAAGAAGATAAACAATATTATTTGATATGGGATTTATTTTATCAATGGTTAGATAAGAAAGAATGAAATATGAAATATGAAATGGATAAGATAATAAAACATATAAAGGGTTTTTTTCCCCCTAATGGAGGATAATTTACTGTTAAATAATTGGTAAATGAGAATAATAATGTAATAAACTGTTAAATAAGAAAATGTTGGATAGAGGATTAAGCACAAAAGATTTGTAACCGATCAATACACTTTCTGTAATTGTAATGGATGATAATTGTTTTATGTTTTAAGTTTTGTTTAAAAATAAAAAAAAATTTCCCCCCCCCCAAAAAAAAATTAGCAAGGGGTTC